ATCACCATCACCATTACCATCATCATTATCATCTCCATCATCATCATCATAATCATCACCATCATCATCAACAACATCATCATCACCATCATTACCGTCATCGACCGTCATCGTCATCGTCATCATCATCGTCATCACCATCGTCATCATCATCATTATCTTCATATTCGTCTTCATCTTCGTCTTCATCTTCATCAAACATCTTCGTCTTCGTCATCAATCATCATCATCACCATCATCAATCATTATCATCGTCGTTGTCATCGCTGCATCGTCCGTCGTAGCATAAGTTTGTGGGTACGCCGTCTGTTGCGGGATTGGGTGATCATGGTGCCGGTGATGACGATGATGACGGTGATGATGATGATGATGATGATGGTGATGGTGATGGTGATGGTGATGGTGATGATGACGATTCTGGCTGGTAGCAGCTTGGATGGTCGGAATGAAGACGATGACGGCGATGCCGTTGGTGACGAGGTTGTGGCTTCTGACGGGTAAACTGCACCGGGGCCAATCACACCTGAGCTTGGACCTTTCCTGTGGTTCCGACTACTCACGGTTTTGAGGGCTTACCCGAAATGGTTTCCACCCAGTTACCCTATAATGAAAGCATTATGACCTAGTTTCGCAGGATTTGGGTCGCAGGAAATCCCCGAACCCCAATCCGAACCCAGACCAGGGCATGTCCGCTCCACCTTTCCTTTTGCTTCGTCGACGCCCAGGGCCCTTTGGTTGCAGTCGGAGTGACTATGAGCAGGGTCGTAGATACATCCAAATATTGAGCTCATGTGGACCCCAGATTGCACGGATTATGATGGCTCTAGAACCCAAATACGCAAAACAGCACAACGCCCTACCCTTTATATCCTAAAGCCTTAAGCCTAAAAAGCATTCTTCATGAGCTTTCCAGACATTCGTTGTAAATATGTGTACCGCTTTGTACTTGCATCCCAAACCTTCAACCTAAAAACCCGCGAAAAGCTTTACACCCTAGACTACCTATACACCCTATAAACACTATAATAACCCTAAACCCTAACCCCTAAACCATAAGCTTGAAGTCTCAGGATAGGGTCGGGTTTTCGGGCGCAAGCTTCAGGGCTCGCGAGACCGCAGGCTTCTTTAGTTTAAGGTCTAGGGACCCTAAAGACTAAACGCCAAACCCTAAGCCCTGAAACCCTAAGCCCTAAAATCCTTATACTCAGCCTCAAAGCCTTGTAGCGTAAGCCTTGCACGAACCATTCCTTGTTCAGCCCTATTCTAAGTATTAAGGGCCCTGTTGAAAGCCCCCAGACTCCCACAGAGTAACCCCTACAAAGGAACCCCGCTGTGTTGAAATGGTTCTACTAAACCCTAAACGCTAAACCGCTACTCATTAAGGCCCTTGTATTTATAATCTGAAGGTTGGCTGGCCCACGCAGAGCCAGGCGAAGACTTCATACGAGGGTTCAGGGACGGTTTAAGGTGTGGGACATTGGGTTCAGGGCATCTGGGTTTTAGGGTTTAGGCTTCAGGGTTGTATTATATAGAGCTTAGGCTTTGGAGTTTAGGCTTTAGGGTTTAGGCTTTAAGGCTTAGGATATAGAATTTAGGTTTTTTCAGGATGTGGGGTTTAGGATTTAGGGTCTGCCGGGCTTTCCAGGGTTAGTATTTTCCTGTTTGTTTCTGATTCTGTTGGTCTTAGTCGTAGAGTCGGTAACCACGGTTTAGGGTTTACGGGTTTACGGTTTAGAAGTTTAAGGTTTAGGGTTTAGGGGTTTAGAGGTTCAGGGTTTAGGGTTTTGACCTTTTGGGGGTATTCTAGTCCCCATTTTGCTCCCAAAGGTTAACCTTTAGTTCTCCTAGAAAACTGGACAAGAAAGTTCTTCTAGCGTATCGATGCCTCGACCCCCTGAAAGCCTCTGAATACATCAAGGCCTCTGAAACCCCAGTCTGACTTTTGCGTAAGAAGGCCCTACCCATAGGCCCCATAGTAGTTCCTTTTTGGGGTTCACATTTAGAATCCTATTAAGTAATCCCAAAAAGGAACTACTATGGGGCCTTTGGGTAAACCCTAAACCTCGAAAGCCCTATGCCCTAAACCCCAAAAGTCGAGAACCCTGGACCCCAAAGCCCAAACCGAACACCCCCAAGACCCTATTCCCTGGGACCCCCCCATGCTGCCTTCAATGCAGCCCTTATAGCTCCCGTAAAGGAACCCTTAAAGCTCCTGTTACCACCAGAAGTACGCTTGATGGTTCATGCATGAGACCTTCAGGTTCAAGCTTTGACATTCCCGGGTTTAGGGTTCAGGGGTGAGGGGTGTAGGATGGTGCAGGGTTTCGTGCTTGACGGTTTTAAGGTTTTGGGCTTAAGGGTTTAGGGTTTTGGGCTTCAGGGTTTCGGGTTCAGGGTTCAGGTTTAGGGTGTCGTACAGCCGACTCGGTCCAACTCCTTGTAAGCCTGGTTTGGGTATAATCAGGGTAAACCTCCGTCGGCAACGACGCCCTCTTCGGCTTTCGTGCATACCTTAAGCCACCCGGAGCAACCCCGGTGCACCATTGAGCAAAGAAAAGATACAAGTGTGCCCTACAAGGGCCAAACTTGAAATGCTCAATTTGGTGAAGGAGTCCGATGCCGTTCGTGAAAGCGTTTTGTCCAAAACGTGCGTGATTTGCCACCCTTTGCACGACATGCGCGCGTACCTCATGCAAATATGTGGGTTTGCGTGTGTCGCCAATAATATAATGGGGCCTAAAGAATTGCCTATACTATTTCGGGGGTTCCGTATTACATAACTATAATATAGTATACCGCCAAAACCCTATTCTGATTCTTAAGACTCCTACATCAAGTTCTTTGAGCTTGAGGGACAGCGAAGTTTAAGCAAAACGTTCTTCGGATGGCACAAGCGCTGCCTGTACCCCAAAACCCCGAGTGCAGCTCAGAAGCCGCATCACAAAGCTGCCAAGACTGTCCCCAAACCCTACGCAATACACCCGGTTTAGGGTTTAGGGTTTAGGGTTTAGAAACCCTCATCCTTAAGCCTAAACACATCAAATTGAAATGTGACGAACTTTGCGCACCCGAAGCGTACGCGCCACCGGAAGGTGTACTCGACGCCTTTGTACCACATGCCGCAGCAGCCAGACTCTGAAGTAAACAGCGAAGGGAAGTGGCCTGAGGTTCATTTCTGTCGTTACGACTCGCTTGTGTTTAAGCTGTTCGGGGCTTCATTGGTACGCTCGGACGACGAGCCAGACGGAGGAGTAAGTGCTAGTGGTTTAGGGTTTATGATTTAGGGGATTAGGGGTTAAGGGTTTCGGGTTTCGGGTGTAGTAGCATGGCCTGAGCCTCTGAGCAGCAGCACAGTGAGAAGGCGAAAACGACATTCACATTGCTGTATTGGAAAGGTGCTAAAGCCCCTAAACCTTAAACCCTATGATACAACCTACAAGCCCTAAGGCCTTCCAGAAGGGAGTGCCTGCGCTCTATCTCACATGATTAAAACCCTAATTGCCCAGTAGGATTCGCGGGCAATGGCGGTTCTCTGTTTTTTTCAGCCATTGATTTCCTACGGTTGGGTGCTCCTGGGTGGGTGGGATGTTTGTCTATTTAGAGTTAGTGGCTTGGACTGTCCGGAGCTGCTGAACCCTAATTAAACCCGAAAGCAGCGGAGGCTGTTGAAGTGTTTGTCGACCGAAGGGCAGGGATATGAAACTCGAAGTAGGAGCTTGAATAATCAGTAAAAGAGCTTCGTCAGTGTTCCTGATTATATTTAGATTATATTTATAGATATTGATATAGTAGAACAGAACGGACCCCAAAACCCTATTCTAATCATCAAAGTCTCAGCCCTACGTGCCTCTGGTTTGATTTGAGCCGGGGTGCGCGCTCACGCAAAAAACCCTTCCACAGCTTTAGAAACTAAACCCACAAGCTAAGCCCTAAACCCTAAACCCCTAGGCCCTACAAACCTTGGACATGAATCGACAGCTTTCAAAGATAACCCACAAAGCCTTGATACAGAGACCCTAAACCATCGAATCTTCGTCCCGATCCGAGACAACCATCCCGGTTTGTTTAGCGTTTAGGGCTTTGGGTTGTTGGGCGTCAGGGGTTAGTTGTTTACGGATTTTCTCCAGAATTGTGGTACCGAGTACCTCTCAGCACCCTACTGTAAGCTATTGAACTTCTACCCTTGTGCTGCTCCGTGAACCCTAACCTGCACAAGATCCAGAGGCCACGCCCCTTCGCGCTGACCCCGCACAAGCCTGCCGGGGCCTTACATGTCAGGTTTAGACTTCTTCGGAGTCGAGAGGGCCAAGAACCATACCTCAGAAGACATATACATATATATACATATATACACACACATGCTACTTGTGGAATATACCACCCCATCAACTCGTGTGCTATCTGCGGCGGCACTGTCGCTTGGCTGCAAGTAGCTGCATCTTGTGCATGTGGTTCGAATGGCCGCCCGTGCCAAGCCCTCCGTTACGCCGTTTGGAAACCGAAACAGAGGGTCCAAGTCCTAAACATCCGATACACCCACCCCCCTTTACCCCAATACTATCCTGCATAACCCTAACCCCTAACCCCTAACCCCTAAACCCTAAACCCCAAACCCTAAACCCTAAACCCTAAACCCTAAACCCTAAACCCTAAGCCCTAAACCCTAAACCCTAAACCCAAGGTACTGTGGATCCTGAGTCGGGATAAATCGGATTAAATCATGGGACCTTTGTACGTCACTCATCCGACGGATTCTGACGACAATATATGGGTGGTTGTCAAAGTTAGGGTCCCTTTTGGGGTCCTTATTATAATACGGCACCTATTACTTAGAGTACCCCCGACTGATGCTGACGATAAAAGATGGGAGTTTCCGAAAATTAGGGGTACCTGATTTTGGGGTCCTTATAATAAGGATCCTACTGTTTGGGGTACTATATTAGGGTCTAGTAAGTTAGGCTGTAGGTTTCTCCCAAACGCCGAACGGCCAAGGCTGTTGCACAAAGCTTCGTGCGTGGAGCACCGAATGGAGGCTCTTCAAGGGTCCTTTCCCAGGGTATTGTAGAGTTCTATAGCAGGGTGTCCTTTTGGGTTCCTTTTATGGGTACGATCGGGTTCTATAAGAGGGTTCCCTTTTGGGGTTTTGGGTTTCGTCTCTAACCCTAAATTACCAAGCCCGGCGGTTCGTTCTGAAGAAGCTGATTGTAGAAAGAGAAATTCCCGAAGTACCCAAGACGGATGGACCTCATGAAGCCCTTCCCGTATAGAACCCCAACGACGGCAGCAAACTTTTATGACCGATCTCGACATCACCGACAACTCTATTTGGGTGTAGGGCACGCGGTTCACGTTTGGGACTCTGGGTTAAATGTTGAGGTTTAGGGTGAACTGGGTTCTCGTTGGGAAACTATGCATACCGCTGCGCCTCCACTGCTTGCTGCGGCCGCCGCCGCTCGTGTTGTCGCAAGCGGAACAGCTACTTGACCTCCAACCCCAAACCCTAAACCCCAAACCCCAAACCCTAAACCCTAAACCCCAAACACTAAACCCCAAACCCCAAACCCTAAACCCTAAACTCCAAACCCTAAACCCCCAACCCTAAANNAAACCCTAAACCCGAAACCCCCACCCCTAAATCTCCATGGGCGGGGTCCTCCTCCCCAAGAATGCTACAGGTAGCCTACAGTAATTACTACTACCCGAACCCAGAGCACCTCTATCTTGGACCTCTGAGTTTTTGGGTTTAGGGTTTAGTGGTTTAGGGTTTTCGCGGTTTAGGGTTTACCCTAAACCCTAGACCCTAAACCTGAATAGTGAAGAGGACTGACAGCAAGCGCGCAGCCGCCTCTGTTTCAAGCTCAAGGCCAGAAAAGGGTTTGCGCGGCTGGCGGGGCATGGGTTCCAGGGTTTAGGGTGTAGGCTGTAGTAGTGTAGTAGGTTTAGGGTTTAGGGTTTAGGGTTTAGGGTTTAGAGTGGGGTTTCAAGACAAGGGGCACTTCAATCACAGGGCCCATAATGTATCGAGGTGTTTCATCTAGGGCTTCGAAGTTTGGTGTTTAATTTGAGCTTGTTGTTAATATAGGGGCCTAAATAATCACCAATACTATTTTGGGTTTTCCTGGTTATAACTCTAGTATAATTTGCCCCCAAACCCTATTCTAACCACGGTTGATGTTATAAGTGTTGCCCAGGATTAGGAATAATTCCCATACTTTAGGGTCCTCAAGGTAATGCAGGATTTATAACATCAACAGTACTAAACCCCAAACCTTAAACCCTTAAGGCCCCCGGTGTTACGTTGAGGTTCTGGAGGTTTGAGGATCTCGGGGTCCTGGGTTTCCTGTTCCGGGTTTTTTGGCTTAGGGTTTATAAGGGTTTTAGGGTTTAGGGTTACGTTTAGGGTCTAGGGCTTTGGGTTCAGGGTTTAGGGTTTATGTTTAGGGTTTAGGGTTTAGGTTTAGGGTTTAGGGTTTAGGGGTTTAGGGTTGAGGGATGGCACACCCTCATTCCCTAAACCCCACCTTAACTTACCAAAACCTTCTTTTTTTTGGTAGATTCTGATTATCAACCCTAATATGGAATGAATGGGGGCCCTACAAAAAAGGTTTGTTCTGGTGGGTTAAGGTAAGCCCTAACCCAACACCGCAAACCGCCAAGCCCCTAAACCTCCAAAACCCAAAAAAACCCACAAACCCTGAAGCACAACCCCTAAACCCCCGACCCGGTTGGGGCGGGTAGGATTGGCTTGATTTCCCGTTCTAGGGTTCTTGGTTGGGTTTCTCTTCCTGGTGTGTGAGGGACTTGGACAACATGTTCCAATTCCAGCTTCGCGTTTAAAAAGGTGAAGCTCAGAGTGAAAACGTAGGAGTGGTCGGCTGGCAGGCTTGCACGACAAGCGGGCGACCATTCAAGCACAACTCGCAGATGAGTGCCAGCGCCACAACTGCACACGGAGCAGGCCATGTACTGCAGGGTGGAAGATATCGACCGGCTCATCCAAAGGGTCCAAATCTATGGCCAAGCCTCTGATGAAGAGCTTCACTGAGTGTCGATGTGTGTCTTTCCGACCTTCGCCTCTGTCTTCCACACATGTACTTTTCAGCCTTCAGCCAGACTATACAAACAAAAATTCGGAACGGCACAGACTGAAATTTCAAGCCTTTGCCGTCTGGCAAGGTCTAGGGTGTCTTCGACTCGCTTCAGGACACTGGTTTTGGGGGTTGTTTAGGATTGAACATAGAAGCGTGATCAACTACCAGCTGTATTCCCTGGCGTTCCTCCTTATGTTTATACTCTATGATACTCCAAAACACTATTCTAGTTATGAAATCCCCTAAACCCTAAACCGTAAATCCTAAACCCTAAACCCCAAAACGCTAAATCCTAAAGCCCCTAAGCCCTAAACCCGAGAGAGAGAGACCTTAACCCCTAAACTGCAGATCCCAAAGCCCCTACACCTTAAGCCCTGCCCCCAAGGCCCAAAATAGCCCAAAAGCCTTTCATGGTATGGTGTTTGGGCCCAAAAGCCCTAAGATATGAGCCCTTAGAGCCTTGGGGTACAGACCTTAAGCCCTAACCGTAAGGATGCTAATGTAAGTCAGTCAGATGGCAGGTGTTCAGACACTGAGTAGCGAGTCTTCTGTTCGCCTGTTGGAGTCAAGGTATAGGGTTTAGGGTTTCGGGTTTAGGCTTTAGGGGTTTCGGGTTTAGGGTTGAGGGTTTGGGGTTTAAGGTTTAGGGTTTAGGGTTTAGGGTTTAGAGGGGTTTAGGGGTTTAGGGGTTTAGGGTTTAGGGTTTAGGGTTGAGGG